ATGCAGTTCAAACCGCAGAAGTCAAGGAGTCTGTCAATCCATAAGGGCAAGGTGTCGGCGACCAGTTTTACGGTGGCAAGGAACAAGATCCCTACGGTTCTGGAGGAACCGGTGAAGAGTCTCGGTCGCGTTTACGATTCGAAGTTATCTGACAGAGCGGAGGTCCGGCGAATACACGAGTCACTGGCTACAGGCCTGCTCGCGATCGAGCGATGCAGGCTGATCGGAAAATTCAAGGTATGGTGTCTCCAATTCATGTTGATTCCGAAGCTTCTATGGCCACTGCTAGTCTACGAGGTGACGATGACTGCAGTGGAAACCATGGAAAAGAAAATCAATACAGCCTTAAGAAAGTGGATTGGTGCACCGCCTTGTCTGACCGACGTGGCTCTGTATTGTAAACAGGCTAAGCTGGTACTTCCGTTCAAGTCAATAACCGAAGAGTTTAAAGTCGGCAAAGTTAGGCTCGCCATGCTTTTGCGCGAGTCCTCAGACCCAAATGTCATCGCTGTCCAGCCCGCTCTAAAGACTGGTCAGAAGTGGAGAGTCCTCGATGCGATTGAATCTGCTCAGAACGCACTAAAATTGAAGGAGGTAATGGGTTACACACAAACCGACCGTCGAGGCCTAGGGCATGGGAAAGTCAATTGGTGGTCAAAGGCCTCAGCCAAAGAGCGCCGAGACATGGTGATACAAACGGTGAGGGACAACGAAAACGAGGTTCGGGTCCAGAAAGCAGCCCAACAGTCGCAGCAGGGCCATTGGGTCAGCCTGGAGAGCGCATTGCCGAGAATACTCACATGGGGTGAGATCTGGCGGATGACCCCGCTGCGACTGAGCTTTATCGTTCGTTCAGCGTACGATGTATTACCGTCCGGTGTTAACATGGTTAAATGGTCTGCGACCAACGATCCGACTTGCCCGTTGTGCAAATCAAAGCAAACTCTTGAGCACGTCCTGTCCGCGTGCAGGAAAGCTCTAGGTCAAGGCCGCTATACCTGGCGCCACAACAAGGTGCTAAAGGAGTTAGCAGCCGTTGTCGACCAGGCTAGAATGAGGGCTAATGCCAGAGCCAGTTCTAGTATCGTCCCCATTCGTTTCCTCAAGGCTGGGCAGGTTCCAAAAGGTAAGGTCAACCAAAACGCATTCGCTCCATCTGCGCTAGACTCTGCGAGGGACTGGTTACTGGCGGTTGATCTGCCAGGACATGAACGGTATCCCGAGTTGATCCGTAAAACCGGCCTGCGACCGGACATCGTTCTCCATTCTGCACAAAAACGGCAGCTCATTCTGATTGAGTTGACTGTCCCGTTTGAGTCGCGGATGGAGGAGAATCATTTGTACAAGCTCGAGAAGTACAGTGATTTAGCAGCCGGTTTGAGGAAAAACGAGGCTTACACAGTGCGGGTATTTGCCGTCGAAGTGGGAGCGAGAGGCCTCGTTTCCACTTCGCTCTACAATGTGGTTAAAAGAGTTAGGATTGCGCGGTAATGAACGGAAACGGGCACTCAAAAAACTTGGTGAGGTGGCCGAAAGGGCATCCAGCTGGCTTTGGACGCAGCGCAACAACGTAGGGGACGGGCCTCGGTGAGCTGGTCCGGGTATCTAGTGGAAAAGAGTTTCTTATCCCTTTGAAAAGTCCATCGTGTACGAATTGTCTGCCAGTGTTCCTCTGCCAACTGCTAATAAAAGTCCAAGATGTGTCCGGTAAACCAAAGTAAGCTTGTCGCTCGGTCGTCCAGGCATGCGGACTGTTCTAATTACGCTGCCGTGGCGGCTTCTTATCTCACAGTACCTCCTTCGAAACCACCAAGTCGTCTTGTCTCTGGCCGAAAGTATAACACCATCCGATAATTCTGTGCGGCGGGGAAGCAGCCCTGAGCTTCATGAACTCAGGTGGGCCCACCTCCGAATACGTTTAGGAATCGTGGCCGAAACGTGTGTCGAAAGAGGATAATTTCTACTGATGACTGTAGATCCCCGCTGTACTTGCTCCCTGTGAGTTTATTCTTATGGCTGCCGCGATGACTTCTTATCTCACAGTACCTTCTGCAAACCACCAAGTCGTCTTGTCCCTATCCGAAAGAAAAACACCATCCGGTAATTTCGTGCAGCAGGGTACCAGCCCTGAGCTTCATGAACTCAGGTGGGCCCACCTCCGAAAGTGTCTAGGAATCGTGGGCCGAAACACTTGTCGACGAGGATAATTTCTACTGACGACTGGTAGATCCCTGCTGTACTTGCTCCCTGTGAGTTTATTCCTATTGGGTCGCTATGATACAGTAGTAAGTAAAAACTCATCATCATCATCATCATTTAGCAGTTCCTTTGCAGTACGCTGCTCTCATCACAGTCTGCCCGAAAGAAACTCGGTCTCTTGCCAGCTTTCCTGCCTCATGTACTTTCAAATTCGAAGAGTCACTTATATCCTTTGCCCATCTGCATGTTGGTTGGGCCCTGCCTCTCATTCCTAGTATTCTGCCTTCTGCTATTTGTTCCCCCAATATATATGTCTTGGTGCTTGATGTGACCAAAATATTTAAGATTCTGAGACAAGATGCTGTTTATTAGCTAATCCTTCTTGTTGTTCAGACCTGTCAGAATGTCAATATTTTTTCTCTTCTTTGACCATGGTATTCTGAACATCTTTCTATAACATTTCAGGTCAGTAAAAACTCACATACGAGAAAAGGTTGATTCCATAAAATCATAAAATGCTACCATCTTTTAAGATACAATGTCTATACTATCATACTAAAGCATATTTCACTAATAGTGAGCTCCCTAGTGCTGTGATTTTTATCTGTTCATTTGTTCACACTCTCAACATACTTCAAAAAGTTATCTGCTGGGGGTCTCATCTTAATATATTTTGTACATTGCAGTGTCAAGATGAAGTGCAAACTGTGGAGTAGTGCTAGCATGATTGCTTCATATGTGTGTATATTCTCAGAGACTTTGTCATTTACTATGAGGACCTTTCATTCAATTTTCACTTGTTCAGTATATTATTGCTCATCAAGCAGCCAAGTTAGATGTCTGAACTATCTGGGTACTTTTTTGTGTGAACTATAGAACCTAATTTGACTGTGGCATTAACAGATGTTCATTGTATGTTTACTTGTTATTAATACACCAGTGTTTGTTTTCTTCTCTGCTAAAGATACTCTTACCCTTTTTCTTCTCAAACAAAATTAAATATTCTACTGCAGAGCTGTTCAACTGAGTTTACCCCAGGATCAAGATGATGATCATGACCGGCCATTGGCCTGAGCCCCAGCACAGAAAGATCATAAATACAACACAACTGGTAATGATCCATGCGGGTCACTTGCTGGATATCCACGGACCAGATTTGGCTAGTGGGCTGCCAGTGAAATGGCTCTGTCTACTGTATAAAGGTTATAAAGTAAAGAGGTTCGACTTCATTGCACCGGATTTTATCCCATATGGCTTAGCCTCTCACTGCAGATTGGCGAGCTGCCTTCTGAGATCAGCACGTAAAGCACAATCACTGTAGCTCCAGCGACAGTCCTAAGGGGTCTTCATAAAAATTGCACCCATGAACCAAATGAGAAGACCTCTTTACCTTTTATAGGGCAGTTAAAAGCTAGTCAACACTGTTTTAGCAGTTTTCATACAATTTTTGTTAAAATATTTAACTTGCTTTATTTTTGGCAATGTTTTTGGCCATGTTATAAGAAGAGGGAAACTGGATCATTTTGTAATTACTGGGAAGTTTTGGTGAAAGAGAGAAAAGAGAAGACAACATAGGGAGATACTTGACAGCTTTTTGTTATGGTGGGGGGGGGGTGTTTCAGTACATGAACTGATACATACTGTTTTCTAGCACTTTTGCCATCAACCTTCAGATGACTTGGCCACTTTGCCACAGTAACCCCCCCCCCCCCACCCCCTCACCCCGTCCCCGAATATATATATATTTATATATATTTTAATTACCTGTCCTTTACAGAACATTGCAGAACCAACCCCAGCATTTTTTGGCTGTGGTTCTTCTAGGAAAATTTACGTTCAGGTGTCTGCCATTGTTTCCTGATTGGTCTGCTCTCGATATCCCTGTCAAAACCAATGCAAGGTGGTCTGCTGCAAATTACCTGCATCTGAGATCAAACCCGGCACCCCACCACTCTATAATTAAGAAGCATGTTCGCAACACCTATGCCACAGACCGTGACCATATATATAGTAACCCAAACATTTTACTGTCTAAGATGTGTAACTGTTCTAATAAACTGTTGTGTAATTTATGGCAGTGGTATCCAGACTTTTTCAGGTTGTGCATCCCTTGAGTATATTTCAAGGAAACCCACGCCGCCGACCCCCCTCCCCCCCATTCCCCTTTCCGAAAATATTGCTAGAACACTGACCTCCCCCTCCCCCTTTCCTGAGTATATTGCCAGACCATCCACGCCCCTTCCCCCCAAGTGTGATTAAAAAAAGGGCAAGAGATGCGCAACAAGAGAAATAGGCAGTATGGAGATATGTTTTGGTCATGTATACTTAATCTATAAATGCCTGCGTTGTCATATTAATTGGATTTTTAACTGTAGTTAACTGTCTATAAAAACAAAACAAATTTCTTTGGCTGTTTGTTTTATCAGATAGTTTTTTTAATATTTTATTATTTTATTTATAATTAAACTTGAAAAAAAAAAAAAATAACGGATTATTACAACTACATATGCACTCAGTTTGAAAATTGCTTTATCCCCCCTCCCGCTTGAAACCTCCTCACCTCCCCCCTCCCCAAGGGGTGCACCCCCAACCAAGTTGGAGACCACTGGTTTAATGACTTTTATTCCTGTAAGTTCAACTCTGTATGTTTTTTCATAAATCTGTTTGTAGGTACTTCCCGACATTTGCTATTCCTGCCCAACTGTACACCTCGAGCTGTAGAGCAGTTTCCCAGAGACATCTTCACACAGGAGGAACGAGCCAGGGGTGCCGTGATACTTCATGTATTGGTTGTGCTGTATATGTTTCTAGCACTTTCTATCGTGTGTGACAGCTACTTCGTTCCTTCTCTGGAAGTGCTATGCGACTGTGAGCAATGGTTTTATTTCTGTAATTTTGATCATCATCATCATCATCAGTTTTGTCATCAACTGTCCTAATATTTTCTTAGCATGTACTAAAAATATTTATGCAAAGAAAAAATTGTGTCTGTACTACACAGTGCAGAATCAAGGACAATAAAAAAATTGTTGAACAAATATATTGAAAGTCCAGTCAAGGAGTTTTATAGATGAATAATGAGAACACCTAGGACATATTAAAAAAGTGTTATGAAAATGTTTTGAAAGAATAAACTAATAAAAAAGAACCGATTACCCATATCAGAAGGAGGCAATCTACATTCTTTGGTCATGTTATGAGAAAGGGAAAACTCAAGTGTATCAAAGTTTGAAGGAATGAGAGGCAGAGAAAGAGAAAGAGACAAGGAGAGAGAGAGAGAGAGAATATACTGGACAGTCTGGCGTCTTGGCATGGAGGAAAATCTCTATCATACATGCTTGATAGAACATGAGACTGTTGGTTGTGGACATACATAAGGCCAAATGCCAAAAACTATAAGTAGAAGAAGCAGCAGAAATGCTGACACCCTTACTCCCCTGGTAGTGCAGGTGACACCTGGCTGGTGTAACCATTGCAGGGGTCCTTATTATTACTTCTTTGGAGTTTAAACAGGGTATCTGGGATCTACCTGGTTGGTCTGCCATCCATATCCATAATCTCAGGATGGTATGGTAAACATGAAGGTAACAGCCTGTAGGTGACAACCGTTGATTGATCAAAATGCTAAGTGTATTTGTTGCTAATAATTTTGGGCTATCATTTTAAATTCTATATTATGGTCTTAAAGTCAAAATTTCTTTTCTTAATTGTCTTTAATTTTTTATTTTTTATTGGTAGTTTTATAGAAGATTGCTTTAAAATTCCTTGGACGGCTAAAACGAGTAACCTAGAAGTTTAGTTTTGAAAGAGAGGAGGGCCTAAAGACAACTTATCACAAACATCAGGAAAAGATGGTAATCATTTTTTGGATATGTTATAAGAAGAGGGAAACTGGATCATTTTGTAATCACTGAGAAGTTTTGTAGAAAGAGAGATAAGAGAAGACAACATAGGGAGATTCTGTCTTGACAGCTTTTTGTTATAGTGGAGGGGTTTCAGTACATGAACTGATACATGTTGTTGGAGATAGCAGGGTTGCAAAGAGGCATGATCGCCAATGCAAGGCACTTGATGATTGTCAGAGACCTGTTTACTGCCATAAAGGAAAATAGTTCATTGGCATCTCCATGATAGAAACGTCTATCTTTAAACACAACTAAGCCAACACCATCAGAGCAGACGCGTCAGCCTTTAATATAATTTACGACAAGCAGTCAGTAGTTCACACCTGAGAGGTGGCTCGCTACCCTACTCCATCCGGCCGGAGGGCTTTACAATCGCCACTCACACATTGGCCATCCGGTTGTTATCCTGGCATTAACCGGGTCCGAACCAAATGCCTCTCTTAAATTAATTTCATATATGGTTGCTGCTGCTAGTTATCTTGTATGCACACTGTGAAAAAGGTCTCCTTTGTTAGCCACATGAATGGGGAGAGACTAAACCAAATAAGGCACACAAACCTGCAGCTTCTCAGGTACACTGCATTGCATTTAACCCCTTGAGGATTGCAATCTGTGAGACTAACACCTCAAAGATGAGAATCCTACAGGTACAAATCCTGTTAAGCCCAGTTCAGCCATATGGTTTATTTAAACCCCTCATGGTTACAGAGTAAGTAGATTTCTGAGAATAATGTTTCATATAGACTGCAAACAGTCAATGGTAAGACAGGACAAACCCAGAAGAAATGCCTGGGAAAATTGAATGTATTGGGCTGGTGCCATATAACTCACTTTACCTTCATCATCATGTAGCAGGCTTTTTGCATGACTTTGCTCTTGTCAGGCTCTGCCTATAAGAAACTTGGTCTCTTGCCAGCTCGCCCGCCTCGTATACATTCAAGAAGTCACTTATATACTTATATCTTGTCCCCATCTTTTCCATAATTTTTTTTTTTTCAGTCTGCCATGGCGCTTGAGGTGACTCAAATATTTCAGCTTCTGAGACAAGATGCTGTTTACTAGCCCTCGTATACTTTCATATTCAAGAAGTCACTTACATCTTGTCCCCATCCTCTGCAATTATATTTTTTTCAGTCTGCCATGGCGCTTGAGGTGACTCAAATATTTCAGCTTCTGAGACAAGATGCTGTTTATTAGCCAGTCTCCCTCGATGTTCAGATGTTTTAAAATGTCACTTTACATTGCTGTCACAAATTTCACTCTCCATGGGGCTAAGTTCAGGTTAAAGCTAAAGTTGAAAGGATTGACTTCATTCAACTATGTTTAACGTATATAGCTCGGCTTTCTCTACAGAATGATTAGCCACTTGTTGAGAGTGTCACACAAAGCACAAACTCTGTAGCCCTAGTGAGGAATTCCAGTGTCTCCATAAAAATTGCACTTGTGGACCAAACGATGCAGCAATAAAATGAAGCCCAACCTTCAGAGTGTGAGGCAGATGGCTTTATCATTTTGCCACTGAGACCTCTACACCCTTCATATGGCTGTTAAAAACTAGTCAATACTGTTTTAGCAGTTTTCATACAATTTTTGTAAAAATATTTCACTCGCTTTATTTTTGGCAAATATTTTTTTAAAAGAGGGATAGGTTTTAGAAAGGGAGTTTGTTTTAGTATCCAGAAGCCATGAGTTGTTAACCCTTAGGCTCGGAATTATGGATTTCACAACCTTTCAGCCTTGATTCCATTGTAAATACCGTAAATCTGGGAGAAAATGTGGCTTTTCTGCCTACCCCCGGGATTGAACCCGGACCACAAGGAGTTCGTCACTCAGTCTTCACGCAATCTGGTTTAGCCAACTACGCCAGAGAGCCGGGCTTAGAAAGGGAGAAAAGGGATTATCTTAGAGCAATTTATTTTTACAGTTAGTAAAGTTGCCTTATGTATTGTCACTTTTTGTATTTCATTATCTATAAGTATTTTTTTTGTGTGGGGGTAAAAATGTTATCAGAGATTATTTGGGAGCAGACTATTTGCATTGGTTGTGAATGTACCTGTTAACAACATGGACGAATATTTTGACAGAGTTCACTTCTTCCCAATACGCTTAGTTATTATATGTACTCTTTTATATGTAACCGCATCATTGTCCTTGTTGTTGAATGCTAATGAAGGCTTTCTGGCCACAGCATTAATTTTCTTGTTTGCGGTCATTATTTATTAGGAAGCTGCCTAGTTCTCTTTATTATCTGGGTTAAATTTTCCTGTTAACAGCTTGCAGAATATGTCATACCCTCACACTGTGTTCACTTTTCACACAGCATTAAGTTACTATTAAGTTATTAATATTATTATTAAGTCACGGCCTGCTCAATTTTCCCTCAAGGTGCTGTTCATTCCCTCACACTATGCTTAGTTTTTACACAGTGTGCGGTTCATACCCTCACACTTGTTTAGTTTTCATAAACCTTGCTATTCATACCCGCACACCTTGCTCAGTTTTTGCACAGCTGGTAACGAGCAACTCATGTAGGAAATTCTAACAAATGTTGCCCGCACCTCATGTGGTGGGTGTACGTGATGTGTCCTATCAATACTGAGTGGGCAGTGGTTGAGCAGAGTTGTAGTCAGCTATCTGCACTGCAACATTTTTTTATTGTCTTTCATTGTCAGGGCATTGTGCAGATGTTGAGGCTTCAGGTTGTATTGATTTCACTGAGTATCTGCTAGGTTGGCTATCATTTTCCATCTCACCAGTGACTAGACATAACTTATGTATGTGCTCGTTTGGGCTCTACATGTGCATGTGCACACAGAGTAAGGGATGGATGGCTAGACAGACAAATAAACAGATGGATGGGCAGGCAAATAGATAGACAGATACAGGCAGGTAGGTAGATAGGAGGGTAGGTGGATAAATGGATGGATGGGTTGGTGGATAGACACAGGTGGATAATGGATGGATGGATGGATGGATGGATGGATGGATGGATGGATGGGCAGACAGGCAGACAGAAAGATATGAAATAGATAGTTGCAAGATAGAAATTGTAAAACAGTTATATTTACATACAAACTGACATGCTGGCAGGAAGATTGACAGGCTGACAGACCAATAGATGGACAGACTCTAACCAAAGCCCAAGAAAAGCTATAAATGTAATGTAGGTAGACCAGTGTAGTGTTTTTCCCAGAACCTTATACTGAAAATACTGTAGTAATCGTAATTTAATACACAAATGTATCTGAGAAACTAAAAACTACAAATAAATATAGTACTTACTCACAGGACACACACATTTTTTTTTAGAGATGTGTTATTTAAAGTAACCACTGCTAAGAGTAGAATTAGTTAAAATAACAGCTACCCTTGACTGAATGCTTTGGGTTCAAATTCCCATCAGGCTAATTTTTTTAAATAACTGCCTCAACTCCCAGATTGTTCCAGCTGATAATAGTTAAAAAAAAAAATTTTAAATAATGTTTTTCCACGCCTTTAGGCTTATATGGCATATAGGGCTAAACCTTCATTATAAAGACCAGTCGGCACAAGATGGGTGATGTGGTCAGCAGCACTCTGGCTGCCTTTACTTCCCGGGACTGCACCCAGTACCCACTCAAGTAAAATAATTTCTCGACAGTTATGCACCTTCAGACAGATGACTGAGTCAAATTTGCCAGGTTGGGGTGTTATGAAGTAAAATAATTTCTCGACAGTTATGCACCTTCAGACAGACGTTGCTGGTGCTACCTTCATGGCAGCTGGCAGCTCCGCACCTGAGCTGGCTACAGCCGTTATTGGAGTATTTGTTGCCAAGGTATGTCGATTCTCATTGTTTACCCGTTTTTTATTTTTTTTATTTGTGTCCTCTTTCCTTGGGAGCCACCACAGCGTAGTGGTTAGACATTTCACCTATCGGCCTGGAGGTTTTAGGTTTTAATCCACATCGGAGTGGAATTTTTCAGAACTGACCTTGACTTATAGGTCAGCAGCCTAGCCTAAATGGGTACAAGGTAATGTTCTGGGAAGTAGAGGCAGCTAACATGATGTTAACTACATAACTCACAGAATGCCGATTGGTGTATAAAAATAAAGATCTAACACTGAAGCGTCATGTACTGAAGGCATGAAGTTGTCCTTGACTTACTTTTACTTTGCATCTGTCTTTATAGTATTATCCTGTTCATCTCTCATCAAATTAGGTTTTATAAAGTCCTTTTTTAAAAATTTTAATTAGTCTTATCATACTGATGATTAAAGAATCTGTGTCTACAACTGTTGTGCAAAACCCGAATGGATCATTGGATGTAGTAGACAAAAATGGAGGAGCTGGATCGGTCATCATGCTGCAAGATGGGACTACAGTAGAAACGTCATGCACCTCCGGAAAACTCTCAACAAACTTCAGAGCACAGTAGCAAGCAATTATTGATGCAGCCCAAGTGCTTGAGGAAAGAAAAATTTAAAATAGCAAAATTGTTTTCCTTTGTGACTGCATGCCAGTCCTCCAGGCGACTCACAGGGATCCACAAGACAACATGCAAAGAGAACTGACCTGCCACCTGAACAGACTCGCAGAAAACTATCAAATTGTTCTCCAGTGGATCCCGGCTCACTGTGACATACCAGGAAATGAGTTAGCAGACAGGCTTGCTAAGAATGGAACAAAGAAGAAACAACACACCCATCCATTGTCATTACCAGAAATCAGAACACTTATCAAGGGAAAATACAACAAATTGTGGAGAGAACAAACTAACAGTGAACATCCACAAGACCCCATCAGCAAACCTAACAGAAAGCATCATACAGCAATTTTCCATCTATGAACATGACACTGCTGGCTCAACTACCACATGCATAAAATAAAGATTGTAAAGTCCCCACAGTGTGCCTGTCAAACAGGACCACAAACACCTGAGCACATTCTGCAGACCTGCCCACTCTACATACAACTTCGAAAAGACACTTAGCCTCAAGAGCAAAGTGTGCTGAGCAAGCTATGAGGAACCATGAAGGACCTGCTACTGACTTGTGAGCTCATAGAGACAACCCACCTGATGGTCTGATCTGAGCATACAAAACTGAACACAACGAAGAAGAAGAAAGAGTAGACCTACAGTTAGGCTAAAAATTCAGAGGAGTAAATTTACCAGGTGTTTACTTTTCTTCTTCTACTCCCCCACTTCGTCTTCTTCTTTTTTTTTTCTCTTTCTCTTCATCTTTTTCTTCTTTTTCTTATTCTTATTCTTCTTCTTCTTCTTCTTCTTCTTCTTCTTCTTCTTCTTCTTCTTCTCTTCTCCTCCTCCTCCTGCTACTAATGCTGCTTCTGCTTTCAAATCCTCCAAAAAATAGTGATTTTGTTATGTCATTTCTTCCCTTCTTTTCCACACAAGTAAAGAGTCCTTTACTTCTATTCATTATTCTATCCAGAAAAGATATAAAATCAAACCAAAAGTAAATCGGCGAGCTTCACAATATAACAAATACAAACAAAACGTGAACGTTGCAGCACAGGCGCCTTCATCAGCACATACGCAAATCAAACAATACCACACAAATACACAAAATCACTTAGCTGGTATTTCCAAGCAGCCGGGTGGATGACTTCTCAGTAGACTGCCTAGACATGCGGGCCAGGGGAATAAATACCCCCTGTGGAGTACCAGGGGCCATAACTGGGGGGTTTGAGATAAAATTGTGTGGGCAGTTCAATCCCCTAGGAGTTTAAATGAAACTGTGTTGGTTCCGGGGCCCTAATATAGGGAAAACAAGAACAGACCCACTGCCTACTCAAAAGCATGTCGTAAGAGTCGACTAATTGGGAGCTTTCTTCGAAGTCGGAGTTCATCTGGCTGAGAGGCAAGGAACCAATAGTCTGCATACAGATGAGTCAGATCTGTAAAACAGATGCACACACAACACTCAGGCCTTGGAACAGGACTGCTGTCCAGAAGTGGATGAACAGCCAGAACTTTCTGCCAGAGTTTACAGCTGGTGAATGCCAAGAAAATTAAAACTATATACTTTTCATTGCGGAAGCATTAACAAACCATGGATTATGTATGAATAGATTCTCTCGACAGCTGCAAGCAGATGTTACTTGGCAACAGTTGTCAGGGATGTCTGAAGTGTGAACAGTTTATCTAAAACTGTGAATATACACAATCATATGTGCTATCAGCTGTGAATTGCTCATTTGTACATTTTATATCCACAACTCTGGATCCAAGAACTGCTGTAGCTCACTGGCGTACCTAGTTAGTTGGTTGCATATCCTTTACAGGACATTGCATAACCAACCCCAGCATTTTTTTGCTCTTGTGGTTTTTTATAGGCAAATTTTACATTCAGTAGTTTGCCATTGCTTTTTGGGCAGCCAGTTCTCAGTACCACTGTCAAAGCCAAAGCAAAACAATCTGCTACCTAATTGCCCACAGCTGGGATCGAACCCAGCACCCCAGAATTACAAAACGTGTTTTCAGCGCCCGTGCCACAGACCTACTACTAGTGGTATTATATCGGCATTAACAGGGCTGTGTCACCACCAGACCTGGCTACATTTACCCTTCTTGGGGTGATAGTAACACTATTTATCCAAACATTTAATTTACTCTGAACTGTTGTGTTTTTTTTTTAAACTCTAAATTCATTCTTTAAGATGAACTTTTAGTTTTAGTCTTCAGTATTACAGTCATAATTCTTAAAAGTGCAGATTTTTCATTCCTTTAAAAAAAAAAAAAACTTACATCTGTGATACAGGAGCCACCGTGGTCTAGCGCCTAGATGCTTGCCTGCAGATCGGAAAGTTGTGAGTTCGGTTCCTGACAGGGGCCGGACTTTTTCAAAAATGACCTTGGCTTCCAGGTCGTCCCAGCTTTGAGTGGATAACAGGTACAGTGCTGGGAAGTAAAGGCTGCTGGCGGGATGCTGACCTCATCACCCATCAAGTATCGCTTGGTCTATAAAATATAGGTCTAGCCCTATATACCCAATACGCCTGTGGGCATGGAAAAGTACTTTTTACTTTTACATCTGTGACATAGCCAACATGAGGTAGGAACTGTAGGAACTAGACTCTTACCTAGAAACTTTTTAATTGTTTTGCCCCAGAAAACTAATGGGAAAAAGGTCATAAACCCAGTAATTCCTGAAAAAATCCTCACCAAACACACACACATACACACACATACATAGAGACAAGTACACAAGCCGCTAATAAATTACTTAAAGGCTTATTTATTTACATCAAACATTTTAAAGAAGTGTACGAAATGAAGTAATCAATCAACCTGAACAAATCAGAGAATCTGGATTTCAGTTTAATATTCCTCCTAGCATGGTTCAAACCTCCAAAACTGGCTTACAAGATTATCTCTGTCAGTACATATTCATGTTGTAAATAAAAATATTTTATATATTTTAAAAAAATATTTTGAAAAAAATTAGTTTGCCTACCATGCTTTATCATCATCATCGTCATAAACTACTTCTGTCAATAAACGTTGAAAGGAGAAATAATTTGCAATAGAGTGTGTGCTGGCTGCCAGTGGCTATTGTCATACCGTAAAGGCAAAGAGTATCTTTAATGATGTCTATCCATATTTTGCAACCGTCCTCTTTCTCTTGTAGCTGATCTTCTGTGATTGTATTTTATATTGCTGCATTCCAACAAGATGGGCAGATCACTTCATCTTCTGTTTGTCAATGAATCTAGTACAAGGTGTCATTCCCACAGTTTGTCTGATAGTATCATTATTCAGACAGTCTCGAATAGTTAGGTTGGTGACTTTTCTGAGTCATCTCATCTTGCAAGTGGTAATTTTGTGTACATATTTGGCACCAGTAGCTTAATGTTGGAATGAATATGCTTTTTATAATCTGTCTTTTTAATAACATTGACACTTGGTATATAAGTGCACCTTCTTTCTGACTTCTGGTTTCTATTTCTCTGTAATTTCTACCATCAGTTTGGACCAGAACCATTCAGCTGTATGTGTAATGGGCCAGCGGTTTTGCTAACCTGCATTGTTTCGGTTTTTGTTTGCATTGATCTTCATGTTGTATTTACCATGCCTAATGATCTATTTTAATACAAGTGTCTCTCTTTCCCTGGCAGGATGATGTTGGACTAAGCACAGTTGTTGGCTCAGCCATTTACAATGTCATGTTTGTCATCAGTGTGTGTGGCTTCGCTGCTAAAACAGTAGGTGTATTTGTTATGAGTTTTCTTTAAAAACTTTAGTGCTTATCTTTTTGAAATGCCATGATCTCCTAACGTGGGGACAGGACACTTTCATGCAGTGAGAAATACAACATCAAATATTAAAGCCATTAAACAGCATTTAAAGTCTATGGTTAAGCACCAGCAAGGAAATCAGAATTAAAATTTTGAGAGCATGCATCTTCCCTGTAGCAACATATAAATGTGAGTCTTGGACTATCCCAGTTAAGAAAGAAAATATGGGTTTTTGAGCTGAAATGCTATAGACAGATTAGCAGAATACCATGGACAAAGAAGAGAAGAAATACTGACATTTCAAAAAATCTGAACATCAAGGAAGAGTGGCTAATATACAGCATCTTATCTCGGAAGCTGAAATATTTGGGTCATTTCAAGCGCCATGGCGGATTGGGAGCAATCATAGCAGAAGGCATGGTACCAGGAAGGAGGTGCAGGGGCTGACCAACACCAAGATGAGCACAGGATATAAGTGGCTGCTTGAATATGACAGTACACAAGGTTTGAGAGCTGGCGAGAGACCGAGTTTCTTTTAGGCAGACCATGATGAGAGCATCGCTCTGCAAAAGACGTGCTACATGATGATGATGATATTAAAAGCCTTGAAACATGAGCATCTACTCAGATTTGTAGTACTGTGCTTTTTTTCTAAAATGTTTGAACATTCATCTCATCCTCATCTTCTTTTACCCTGCAGTGGCCATTGAGGTATAATTCGTCATTTTAATACCTGCTTGATCTGTATATCATTGTTTGCTGTGGTTTACTGTTTGTCGGCAGCCAAGTTAAATGGCCATGCCACTTCACTTGTTTTCTAATAATAGACTCTAATGCTTTCACTGTACAACTTTCTTTTGAACTTTTTAATTGTTGGCCTTCTCTTTTCTCAGTATATTGATGATCCTTTCCAAGTTCTGAGTTGACATTATGTCTTGGCCTTTAATGTAAGTTTTTCCCTCATTAAGGTCAATCCATTTATACTTTGTTGTGTTTTTTTCAAGCAGTAAAAAAAACATTCCCTGTCGGCTTCCTAGACCAGTCATATGTTAACTCTTTTAATCCCAGACTTATTTTTCCTTATCTCCAAACTTCCTAAACAATAGTTGCTTCAAAAAATAGTGTGCGGGTCTTAAAACTCAAAAATAATCCCACTATGGGGCACAATAACCTGAAGTCTGTCTTGGGATAAAAGAAGTGAAAGCTGCAGGTGGGTGGGGTACAAAGGGCTCAGAAAGGCTGAAGTTGTTAAGTAACTCAAATAAACACATGATGAGGTGTTTAATACTCAAAGACTTAAGGGGGGAAACTGACCTGGGTAAGTTCATCCACCTTGTCTAGCCAAGGCCCTGCTAGCCAGGGAAATCCTGCCCATGGTTTCCTGGTCTATGCTGCTCGAAGTTGATGTTGACTTGTGTGTACTACAGGTCATCAGTAACTTATTGATTTTCATTTGTTTGCCTCTCAAGAAACAGAGGGGCCAAATCTCAACCCTGCTGGCTAATCCAGCCCCTGCTGGACAATCCTAACCCTGGGGACAATCCCAACCCTGCTTGCTGCAGAGCTAGCTGCAGCCCACACCTTGTAGACTGTTCAAACACTTTAAACATACAGTTGTAACAAGCAGAAAACATGTTTATATAATTATTGGTTGGTGTCAAGCAGTATGTCTTCAATGTTTCATACGCAGTTTCAAGTTTGTTAACAAACAAATTTGACCACGTTCAGCCAGCTACCCCAAAAGGGAAATTTTTGGTTATATTGTGATCTGTGTTTATTTGTGCCATATTCATAGCTTAAAATTGCTCACTGCCAAGTTTGCCCATCCAGAGAATTACACAAATCACACTACCCAACGACAGGACAGTCTGAAATAAACCCACAGTCTTCAGAACGTGAGAAAAACTACTTTAACCACCTTGCTTCAGAAGCTGTTATTAAATGTTGTGTCTTTATAGCTTCTAGTTGTTTAATCACATTCAGATTTATAGTGTGCACTTCCTGTCCTCATATTAACTATTGACTTGTATTCAGCCACTTTATATTTCAAATAATTCAGTGCTTTTCTCACTGCAGGTTGTTCAGCTTAACTGGTGGCCTTTGATCAGAGACTGCTTAGCATACCTAATCAGCATTGCAGCTTTAATTTTTGTCATAGCAGATGAAGAGATTACCTGGTATGTGTTCTAAATGTAATTAAGTATAATAAATGGATAATCTAGATCTATCTTTCCCATTAGATGGTCTATGACATCATTTACACACCCAAAAAAAATAATAAGTTTTAGAATGCAATTCTTTTAGTGATATGGTGGTATCTCTGTATACATCCATAATTTATTCCAGATACTTCAATTTATTCCAAACTGGACTAATTTTCCCATAAGAAATAAAGGGAGAATGACTAATCCGCTCCTGTCCAAAAAAAAATACTTTTGTTATTAGCTTATTATACATTGATGGTGCCCCGCTCGCTAGCGTAGTTGGCTAAACCGGACTGCGCGGTGACCGGGTGACAAACTCCTTGTGGTCCGGGTTCACGCCCAGGGGTAGGCAGAAAAGCCACATTTCTCCCAGATTTACGATATTTATCATGGAATCAAGGCCAAAGGGTTGCGATATCCATAATACCGAGCCTAAGGGTTAACAACTCATGGCTTCAGGATGCTAAAAAAAAAAAAAAAAAAAAAAAATACATTGATGGTGTTTGTGTAAAATAGTGTTTGTGTAAAATAATTTACACACTACTGAATACTTAAATGCATAAATACAAAATCAGTTAGATTAAATAAAAGATTAAATAAATAAATATTTAACCTCTGTTTACCTTGCTGAGAAGAGTACCTACTAGGATGGTGCTGAGAAGGGAGAAAGGGGAGGTGGTATTGTTAGTAAGGAGAGTCCCCTTGCAATAAAACTTCAGGAGTCGGAGATTCTGGTGTTTTTGTCTTTAAGTTGTTCTCTCTTTCCTCCCCACTTGGATCTGGTTCAGGCTCACAAGTTCTAGCATGTGGGTTGTATTCCAAATAAAGGTCACATACCAAGCAAAATTGTTCTCATCTAACTAAGACATATGCAGTGCAGACTGCTTAAGGTGATCTCAGATGTGGTGAATTTCTTCATGAAGAACAGTTCTGACTAAAAGGTGATCTCAGATGTGGTGAATTTCTCCATGAAGAACAGTGCTGACTGCTTAAGGTGATCTCAGATGTGGTGAATTTCTTCATGAAGAACAGTTCTGACTAAAAGGTGATCTCAGATGTGGTGAATTTCTCCATGAAGAACAGTGCTGACTGCTTAAGGTGATCTCAGATGTGGTGAATTTCTCCATGAAGAACAGTGCTGACTGCTTAAGGTGATCTCAGGTGTGGTGAATTTCTTCATGAAGAGCCATGCAGAAGATTAAGGTGATCCCATGTGTGGTGAATTTATTCATGAAGAGCCGTGCAGAAGATTGAGTTGACTACTAGTAAGGAACCATCAGTCTTTGGGGACCATGGAGATGTGCTGCTGGTTTTGGGAACAGTGTCTGCTATGACTGTAAAGTCCACTGCAGGAGTGGCAGTCTCTGCCACATGCTCCACATAAACATGTTGATAAGCTATCGATTTGAGCCTGGTTTTTCTCTAGATGTATATTCTCTGTAGATTACTGTGTTTGGCCTCTTTCAAACTGTGAGAGTCCGCATTTCACTGTTTGCCTCCAAAAGAGTTGCTCTGTAGCTGATCTTTCCCAAGTCTGTGCCAATGTTGATATCTTTCAGTCCTTTGTGTCTTACATCTGTTTTGTAAAATTTCAACCCACTGTCCTGCTCTCTTTATTCAAACTCCTCAGGTTGACCTCTTGACCTCCAGTCATATGACTTACTACTGAAATTGTTAATTATAATTAACAGTCTGTGTTCAAATGTTCTTTTCTAGTCAATTGTATGTTACATTGAGTAACATAACGTAGGTGAAGAAACTTTTCATACCATTCACACAACAGGCAGAGGGGGATGAGCTAGACCCATATCTTGTATAGACTTGTCGGCACTCCATAGATGCTTATCATGCCGGACACTTTTACATCCCAGGGCATTTCCTGAAACTGATTTTATGCTCTGTTAATGTTTGAACCAAGATCCACATTATAAACCAAATTAAGAGTTTGTTACCTTAAACATGTTCAAATGAACTACATTAACTTTCTAGTTAGTTTTTATAAAGTTGAAATCAACTACATTAACTTTATGTTAAGTGGTTTATTTTGAAAAAATTAGCGAAACTGCATTTATTTTCTAGTTGGTTGTTTGTTATAAACAACTTTAGGCTAACTAATTTTAAAAGAATCTGTATCAACATTCTTTCAGATAATTTGATTGCACTTATTGTAGGGTTTAAATTATGGAGAAGTGTATCCACAGTGTGTGTGTGTGTGTGTGTGTTAGCATTATTTTCTGTTTGTATTGTATCAAGAGAACTGTTCTTCAGACTCAAGTTATAAAAGTGACTGAGAGCGGTTTGAGCATAGAGACAAAACATCGGCATGTAAAACAGAGTACTACTGACACTTATTATCATCATCACAGTCTTCATCATCAAGTTAGTCTTCGGCAATCCACTTCATCTGTCTGAAAGTCTGAACTCCAGTCTTCGTGTATGCTTGTGGGATGTAAACAAAAAGCAAACATCCACATTTCTAATGCTTTAGGCCTTTTTGGCCTCTGGTGCTGTCCTTGTATTTGTATATACCAGTCAGCACTCGACAGTATCACACTTGCTACTTTCGGATCCTAAAATCTCCTATCTGGGTTCCGGAAACCAATTTTTGTGGGGTAAAAGAATAGACAAGTTGGTTGTGAAAGGCAACTAATTAAGGATTTTAAAGATTTACTGAAATCAAGTGTGTTGAGACAAAAGGCATATATATCATAGCCTAGCTGTAAACCACACCACAGTGTGCCAGAGCCCTTTTAAGGGCGAACGCAGAAGAAGATTTCCTAGCTTATTTTCTAGTACCCATTTTTAGCCCATATTACCAGATCAGTTTTAAAAAACCGGCCTCACTGGAGATTTGAACACACAACTACCAGGCCAATGCAACCTTTCTGTCCACTGCATCACTCTATGCTGATATAGCTTTAGTTTTATTTTCTTAAACATTGTCTTCTGGTAGTAGAACTACATGTCTGTTATTATTACCAACGCCCTGTCTGAGTTCCTCTGCTCTGTTTTGGATTGAAAATAGAACCGACTCACTGCTTCATATCAAGTCATTCTTTCTTCTTCTTTTGTCAAAATCTGCTTGTGCCGCTAGGCGTCGCAGTCTATCAGATGATCGGCAACCGAGCCAGGGCGCACTCAGTCGCTTCATATGCTGTGATGTTATGAAGTCTCAAGTTGTCCGTGACTCCTTTAATCCATCTTCTTCTTGGTCTTCCCCTGCCTCTTGGTGTTTCGATTTTCATGTTGTATGCTCTTGATGCTGGCATCTTTGGTCCCATTCTCATTAGGTGACCAAACCATTTCATTCTTTGCTTCTCAATAAATTTAACGATGGGTATAGTTCCAATAGTTCTTGTAATCACATCGTTTCTCACTCGATCTCTTCTGGTTTTATTCACAGCCATTCTCAAACATCTCATTTCACAGGTGGTTAGTCTTCTCTCGTGTTCTTTTGTTAATGTCCAAGTCTGACATTGATAACCTAATGTCGGTATAAAGATTGTATTTATAATTTGTCTTTTTATCTCAAGTCATTGAAGGCAGATAATAAAGGATTTGTTGTCATTGTGGGCAGAAAGTTGCAAATAATGCAGAGCTGTAAACCACAACACAGTGTCCCAACCGCTGTTTTAAATGTGAGCACAAAAGAAGAAGAAGAAATGTTGTTCCGCTACGACAGACTTAGGCAACAGCAACTATTTTGTTAATGAGTTATTTGAGTCCATTGCAGTGTATGCAAAATGGGTGTAAGGTAACCACTATTCGTATTCAGCCCGACCGCAAGTATTTGGATGAATACCAAATAGTTATTAAGTCCACTGTTTGGCCCTGAAGCGAATACGAAGCGAATATTCAGTACAGCCCAAGTTATAATCACTTCTCATGGGAACAGCCAGTTGGGGTACCTTTGGGTAGCTGCTACATTTGAGGACTGAACATACCTGGCAATGCCTACTGTGCAGTGACGTTATGATAACATAACATAACACTGTGTGTATAAGAGGTAGAGAAAGAAGGGTGACGTTGATTATGATAACAGAACATAACACTGTGTGTACAAGAGACAGAGAAAGAAGGGGCTGGAATAGACAGAAACACCAACCCACAAAAAATACAAAAGCATATGAGACTTCAGAATGTAATGGTAACTTCATTTTTTTTTCTCCAGGTATGAAGCTGTGATATTTCTGGTGCTGTATATCTTGTACATAGTGTTTATGTTCTTCAACCAACCATTGGAGAGATTTTTAGTGCCAAAATTCAGGTGTTGCCCAAAGGAGGCTTGTTCTGTGCCGGATCAAGTGGTTGTTCACTATGAGAAAATGGCAAATGGTGACGTTGCAGACGGTTAGTGTTCCTTGACAAAATGTGGTGTTAGTGTTAATGCTGTTTTGATTTTGAAATGTTAAATGTATTTTGTTATTTACTTATTAGAGTTTATAATGATATCTACTGAGCGGAAAAATGTTCCTAGAAAAACTACGACAGCCAAAAAATGCTGAAGTTGATTCTGCAGCGTCCTGTAATGGATACGCAACTAACTTTTTTATAATGTTATATCATGTGTGTTCTTCATTAAAAAGTTTCACCACTTCATCATAATAAGTGAAGAAATCTTCATCGTCATCATCAAACAGCATGTCCTTTGCAGAACATTGCTCTCTTCATGGCACAGTGGAAAGACTTTCTCTAACCAATTCTTCAGCCCTGCCTGCCTTTACAGCCAATGCATCTTCAATGTCCTGCATCGACCTTCGCAGAGGTCGGGCTCTACTTTTTTTTCCGGGAAACTGCACCCTCCAAAAGCATTCTCCTTAAACCACCAGGGTGCTTGACATGTTCAGAATACCCCAACTTTCAGGAGAGGGTGTTGTTTACGAGCCAGTTAACTTTCAGGAGAGGGTGTTGTTTATGAGCCAGTTAACTTTCAGGAGAGGGTGTTGTTTACGAGCCAGTTAACTTTCAGGAGAGGGTGTTTACGAGCCAGTTAACTTTCAGGAGAGGGTGTTGTTTACGAGCCAGTTAACTTTCTGGAGAGGGTGTTGTTTATGAGCCAGTTAACTTTCAGGAGAGGGTGTTGTTTATGAGCCAGTTAACTTTCAGGAGAGGGTGTTGTTTACGAGCCAGTTAACTTTCAGGAGAGGGTGTTGTTTACGAGCCAGTTAACTTTCAGGAGAGGGTGTTGTTTACGAGCCAGTTAACTTTCAGGAGAGGGTGTTTACGAGCCAGTTAACTTTCAGGAGAGGGTGTTGTTTACGAGCCAGTTAACTTTCAGGAGAGGGTGTTGTTTACGAGCCAGTTAACTTTCAGGAGAGGGTGTTGTTTACGAGCCAGTTAACTTTCAGGAGAGGGTGTTGTTAACGAGCCAGTTAACTTTCAGGAGAGGGTGTTGTTTACGAGCCAGTTCTCCTCAATGTTCAGGTTGTACAGGATGTCGAGGTTTTTTTCTTTATCGTGGTCCATGGTGTTCTAAGAACCTTTCTGTAGCATGTGAGTTTAAATGCTTTGATTTTCTTATTCAAAGACTGAGTGAAAGTCCAGGACACACCCTTAAGTTGCCATTGGAAAGATGCATGATCTAAAAAATTGTAATTTAACTTGCTCGCAGGTGCTCTGCCATAGGTTCTTCATGCTGTTTAGCCTCTGCATTGCTATACAATCCAGAAATAAGGTATACTGTATCCCATAACATCTGTTACAGTTAAATGTTCCATCTCCCAACACCAGTATATTATATACTTGTTAAACCAATGGTCTTATATGGCTCTGAAACCTGGAGAACAATAAAAAAGGAAGGAAGCTTTGTAACAAACTTTTGAGAACAATTTTCCATCAAATCTTCGGACCTATCTTCTTCTTCTTTATCTTCTGTTTCTTCTTCTTCTTCACATTTGGTTTCATGTGCTCAGGTTAGACCATCAGGTGGGTTGCTTCTATGAACTCGCATGTCAGCTGTAGGTCCTTCATGGTTCCCCTTATCCTGCTCTGCACACTTTTTTCTTGAGGCCAGGTTTCTTTTCAAAGTTAAGGTAGGGTGGGTAGGTCTGCAGAATGCACTCAGGTGTTTGCAATCCTGTCAGACGGGCACTGTGGGAACTGTACAATCTTTATTTTATGCATGTGGTAGTTGAGCCTGCAGTATCCTGTTTGTAGACAGAAAATTGTTGTATGTTGCTTTCAGAGGAATTGGAGAATGGAGAGTGAAAAGCAACAACAAAAATTCATAATATTTTTTTATTACTGACATCATGTGGATTAATAGACTGAATGGTTGGGTTATATCGAGAAAATGGCACACAACAGATAAAGAATACCTGTGCATTCTAAAGAATTGAAGTGATCATGAGGCAGACGAGAAAGACAGATGATATACAAGCAAACCTTCCAATACTTGTAGTCACCAAATGGAAAGAGAAAGCCAATCACAGATGGGAGAGAGGAATGTTTGTAGCAATGAACCTCAAGGACTTAGAATACTGAAGAAGAAATTTTCTTCTTCAACAGAAACATACTCAAGTCTGTGCACTGCTTGGATGCCTCTTTGAGCCTAATGCTCAAGTATAGCAGTGGTTATTACCCTTAAGCTGATGGAAACGATGAGAGGTTGGAATCAGAATTTTGAGGGTCTCTAGCCAAGTGGTTAACTATTTGCCATGACCACTGAGGGCTTTGGGTTCAGTTTGTGACTTTGTTCTTCAGTTCGCATGTGCAAATGTTTTGGAGATTTCTAGGGTCAGTGCTGGAGCTATGAAGTTCATGCTTTATGCAACGTTGTCATGAACAGCCAGCCACTTTGCAGAAATAACAGCCACTTGAGAGAAAGCCCAGTGAAAAGAATTCAGTTTTCATGTACCAAAGTCCATTTTGAGGTGCTAAAGATATCTGGCTTGATTTTATAATGTGCAGCAAAGCTGCTAATTGACTGACATTTTTCATTGTGGTTATTTCCTTTTAAAGCAGTGGTTCCCAGTTGGTGGAACAAATTTAAAGGGTCTGTGATATCTTTGTCTTCTTCTTTGCATTCATCAGCAGTAAAGTCCGGTGGAAAGTTCTGTTGATCAACCACTTCTGGACTTTGATTTTGCCCCAGAACTTGAGCTTTGTGAGCATATCTTTTTTACAGATGTGTGTGTGTGTTTTTTTTTAATGTGAACTGTTGGTTCTTTGCCTCTCGGGCAGGTGTAACCACACACACACACAAAAGATGAGTGCAGCCTAGCTAATACAAGAAATTCCAGTAAACTGTGACTGAAAAGCTTAACCAAATGGCGAAAGAGAAAAACGTGCACAAAACAACACCAATAACGTTTTGGTCGGCAGCCTCTGTCAAAGATGAAGTGAACTACACAAAGGTTACAAAGAGGAGAGTATTCAGATCTCTAAGGGGTGACGTGAGCAACATTTTACAAAATGTGATGTAGAATGAATGAATAAAAAAAAAAACGATAGCTAAAAAAATATAGTCGCAAAAAATAAAAAGTAACATTGTTAATAAATAATGTAGTAGTAGGAATAAAAGAAAAACAAATGTTAATGATACATAAATGATACTGATAAGAGATAGAAAAAAAGTAATAATATAAAATAAAATAAAAGAAAAAATTTTCATTTGAAATGTGATAATAGTAAAACTATTTAGATGAAGGTATGATGGATATTGATACCGCCTAGACTTAGAACACCTGTTTGACAAAGGCTGCTGGCAGAAACGTTTTGTGTGTTGTTTTATGCACGTTTTTCTGCGTCCCCATTTGGTTAAACTTTTTTGTCACAGTTTACTAGAATTGATCTCAGGCAGGTGCACTCTGACTTGGAAGGAAACCCCTAAGTAGTCGACTTTTACGACATGCTTCTTTGGGAGGCAGTGAATCCGCTCCATTTTTTCTCCACCACATTGGGGTACCCTTAGGGATCTGAGATATCATTTAGAAAGAACAAAAACAACCCATAGCACATTTTCCATGATTCTTATGAAGATTTGTTTGAATGTTTATTTTTAATAAGACTATTAAAAGTAGATTGTCTGTGGCAGGCCTTCTAGTGGTCCGAGTTCGCACTCAGGGGTAGGCAGAAAAGCCACATATTTCCCAGATTTACGGTATCTCTTATGGAATCAAGGCCGAACGGTTGCAATATCTATAGTACTGAGCCAAAGGGTTTACAACTGATAGTTTCTGGATCAGTTTAAAAAAAAAATCTAATTGGAAACCACTGTCCTAAAACAACTGATTTGAAAGTTTTTATGGCAGATAGAGATAACTTAAGCACTCTTTTCACATCACTGGCTCACTGAGCATATAGTGCTAGCCTCATATTTTAAAGACTAACTGGTTCTCAACAGCTGATGTAGCTGACATCTTGATGGTCACCAGAACAATTCCTGGTACTCATTATAGGCTGTGTCAACCTAGGAACAAAGTCAGTTACAGAAAAGTGTGCATCAATAAGGTCATATGTTATAAAATGACTGATGACATTTCCCATTCACTTATTAGATATGTCTGAGGCCACCATTGTTTTGACTAAAAATGGAAATACAGGCAGCACAGAATCACTGGACTCCAGTAGTTCCAATGAAGAATCTGCAACAGGTTGGTGCCTGTATGTTATATATTGTTAATGTAATTATTTTTGTGAGCTTTAAAAGAAAGCATATGCATGAATTTCTGACATCACAGAACTCAGGACATTCCCATAAGCGCTCCATTCTCATCTTCCTCCATTCTTGGTACCAGCAGCAGTCAGATTATATATCTGTCTTGCCTTTCCTCTGGGTGTTGTCTGCCTGATCCCCTGTTCACTCCCCACTGTACCATTCTTTTGAGACCCTGAAGATCTGCTTTGTACTTCCACACTTTTCACTTGCTGTGCATCCATTTAAAACTATGATATTGACTGTCAGTGTTTAAGACCATTGAACATCATTTCTTTGACCACCTCTGACTGGTAAGAGTCAGGTCTTGGTCATATATGACTGAATTACCATATAACAGTGGTTGGTACCACTTGCTCTCTGTTAATGCTGAATGTTGGGCAGCATATCCCAGACCTGACATCCAATTAAGTTGTAACTAAAACTTGGATCAGATGTAACTGAGCTACCATATAATGGTAGTTGGCACTACTTCCTCTCTGCTAACGCAGAATGACGGGCAGCAACTACCAAATTTGACATTTCACATATGCGAGCGACTTTGGGCACAGAAGCACATTTTGGGAGTGGGGGGGGGGGGGGGGGCTAGGAACAGGAAGAACAGGAACTGTAACCTGAAAACATAATTTAATAGCAAGACAGACCAAGACCCTTTTTTGGCAGCTGGTCTAGGAGGGAAGCTCCGACAGACAGACAGAGCATGCTTTTCTGACTTGAGACCTAAAGCATGCTTTTCTGACTTGAGACCTAAAGCATGCTTTTCTGACTTGAGACCTAAAGCATGCTTTGCTCTAGACCAGTTGTCTCCTGTCTGTGGGGGGAAGGGGAGGGGGAAAGAGATCTAAACTTACAGCTTTAAAAATCATGAAAACAAATCAGAATTGCCAGCTCCATGGGAAAAGTGATCTCTGTTGACCAAAAACACAATAAAACAGAACAGTGTCAACCATTACATCAATATTTGGACACTAAATTACCAGTTTTGGATGATTTTGTGTGTGTGTGTGTGTGTGTATGAACGCTGATTTATGTGGATGTTTTTCTCCAAGTTCTTTTAAACAGTGTTTGGGATCTTTCTTTTTGTCCTCCTTTTTTATAAATCACACTTTTGTTTAATGATGGAGGGGGGGGGGGGGGGGGGTAATGTTACCTGAAAAAGTTTGGAGAACCACTGCTCTAGACATATGGTGTTACCTTTCCTCTGAAGTAAACAGGGGGGGTGGGCGGGGGCAGAAGGGGGATCATGCTGCATGGGCAACTCAAAGTCTCTACAGTACTGCCCAGGCTTTATGCTGTGGATAGGAGGATGTCATCCATGGCCTAAATGTATCTGTTGCCATGGGCTGTGATTCCCTTGTCTCTCAAATAACATAAATTGTGCAGATAAGTTGAGTTTTAAGCCTGAAATAAATCTTTCTATAACCAGGAGTCAATTTAAATGGTGGGTATAAAATGCATTAGGTAAATATTAGTCCAACCCAGAATTGTTTGCTAAAAATCTTGGGGTCAACTTGGATGTCAAAACTGCCTAAACTTTTGCCTCCTATATGGTTTTTAAAAACATTTTATGTCTTTTTTTTTTTGTAGCCAACATTTTTCAATTGCCTCTTGTTTATTTCTTCAGCCACTCTTTTTCTCCTCAATCTCTTTAATGCTATCTTTTTGATTGTTTTAATTGCCATGAAATATGATGTAGTATACCTAATATTGTGTAGTCACCATTATTGTCTCAGCTGGACAGCAGCTGTGATCTTCTGAAAGAGTTAACACAGTAAATAGGTTGAAACACTTCCCATCCAGATAACAGTCCTTAAGACAGTTAATCTCCTCACACGAAAGCCTCAGACTGTTATTTTACAACTGTAAACTGGACACAAAAGTCTCAAGCTATATACAAATAAAATTTAAAACTTGGACCTCAGAATATTGCCCATGTGAACAGGCACCCCAGAATAGTCAACATTTGCTGCGGACATATTCTCTACATGCAGTAAGAAGAACCCAGGTCTGGCCGGTTAGCATTTCAGTAGAAAACAAGCTGTATGGATCAATGGAGGACATGCATTGCACAACAGCCTTCAAAGAGGCTTGTGGCCTTCTCTTTTTAAAGCTACTGGGAGGAACACAACAGTAACAAACAAGCAAACAAAAGAAGGAGAACATTGTGACAGCTGGAAATATCAGTGAAAAAATGGGTAGAGGCAGACCAAGAGAGATGATGCTGGATGGGCTGAAACGATGGCATTGAGGGATATCATCAAGAGGGCTGTTCCAGGCAACCAGGGATCGTGATCTGTATAGACGCATGCGCGCCTATGCTAGTTGGCAGGGCAGATGATGATGATGATAAAACAAAAGAAGAAGAAGTAAAACAAAAAAAACAAGCTTTAGCGTAAAGAAGTATATAAACCTAGTACTGATGGTCTAGATTGCAGGTACAATGTGCTTCTCCTGCTGTTATTTACATTGTATATGTAATATCGTTATTGCTGTACCCAGATGTTTAGTTTAACTAAGTTAAATATAATGCTTTATGATTTTGTCATTTGTTTCGTGACTATTTTTCCTACAGAAATTCACAAACCAATTCCAGAGGAGTCCATATGGCACAGACCTCGAGGGTGCTGGGCCTGTGTCTTGTGGCTAGTGTCATTCCCGTTGTCTTTCGTTTTATACATCTCTGTACCTGACTGCAGAAGACAGAGACTGAGAAAGTGGTTTTGGATCACCTTTACCATGTCTTTAGTTTGGTTATCTGTCTTTTCATTTCTGATGGTGTGGATGATTACTATTATTGGTGAGTTTTACTTGTAAAGTTGATAGCCTTGTTTAAAGCTTTCTTTGCAGATTTTTGTAGATGGTGATGGATAAGGAGTAATTAATCTATAATGTATCAAATAGGCATGTATAATTATCATTAAATATATTTCATTGAACATAGTGTGTATTGTGTGTGTGTGTGCATGCACACATTTGCATGTGTGTGTGTGTGTATATATATATATATAAAAATATATACACACACACACACACACACACACACACATATATACATATACACTTTGAAGGAAGCCCCCAATTAGTCGACTCTTATGACATGCCTTGGGTAGGCAGTGGGTCTGTTCTTGTTTTCCCTATAATAGGGCTCTGGAACACACACAAGGATGATGACAATTCTTATTCCTTTATTTTTAATCTGTTTTTTTTTTTTGTGTGTGTGCACACTGTGAGGTAGATAGTGTTAACATTCCTATGCTGCTGTCACGGGACGTTCTTATTTAAATAACATTTTTTAGTGGATGTGAGTTAAATCCCCTACAATCCACATCCAAATGAGAAATCAAGACAATTGCGCCATGATAATAAAGGTAGACAAAGTTTAGCGATAAACAGATACAGCCTAAGGTTGGCTTGTCTTCTTCTTCTTTGCGTTCACCAGCTGTACATTCTGGCGGAAAGTTCTGGTTGCTCGTCCACTACTGAACTGCAGTCCTGCTCCAGAACCTGAGTGTTGTGTGTGCATCAGTTTTACAGATCTCATTCTCTTGAATACAGACTGTTGGTTCCTTGCCTCTCCGGCAGATGCACTCCGACTTCAAAGGAAACTCCCCAATTAGTCGACTCTTACGACATGCTTTTAGGGAGGCAGTGGGTCTATTCTTGTTTTCCCCTACAATGGGGCCCCGGATCCCACACGGGGGGGTTGGCTTGTGAAATAGAATAAGCTGACTAAATATCCACAGGAGAAGGAAAAAACGTTTAGAGATCTAAATAAACTAATTGTATGAAGATAAAATTCTAGCCTGCAGGTTGCCTTTCCGAACACTTCCCTCCTGTTAAAAAAAAATGAATCCCTACTAAGCGCCTTAACTTGTCTAAGTTTTGCTTTCCAGTTTTCACACTCAGTTAGCAATGTGAGGTGATAACAAAAAGTTAACTGTATTTTTTAAGTATAAAGACAATTTTTTTTTTTTAATAAACCAAGCAGAACAGTTGCTGTGTTGGTTAAATGGTAAGTTAAAATCAGGGAGTTGATGTTTTCAAAGATGGATCTATGAGTAAGATGGGGGTTGATGCTATGATTAAAACAGATTATTACACATGATTTAAATGAAAAGAAACAACTCGGAGTCAGCTCTCCCATATGATACTCTTTAGAATTCAGTTTGAATCGGGTGGTTACAATTGTAGATCCAATTACTTAGGTCTGTCAGATCAGCTCGTGCTCCTTTGGGAACAGGAATAATCCTAAGAATTCTGTTTTCTTGAAATAATATCTCACTAATAGAACAAACGAATGAACAAACTTTATTTTAAAAGGGTTACAAATTGGTCACGCAGGCCCGTCTGACATTCGGCCCTTCTGAGCACTCATCTTTCAGAGTAACAATGCCTGTTATCAATAATGCATGTTATTGAGGACTCCTGATCGAATATGAAGTATATTATAATACAGGGGTTTTCTATTATGCCTTTCTGTCATGTCCTGTCATTTGCTTTTTCTCTGTGCCCCTTTTCTAGACTTGAGAATTTTTTTTTTTTTTTTAGCTCAGCCCTCTGATCAGTTGGCTGTCTTAGTCCTGTCAGTCCTTCCTCAGCTTCTTCAACATTTATAAATTATCTGTATGAATGGCTTTAATTCCAAGCCCGCCCTACAATAAAGTACTATGCTGTAATACTACATCACCTTGGGTGGCCATCTGGCATCCTGGTCTAGCCAGGTCTGTTATCACAAGTCAGCTGGAACGTCAGTTTTCGGGAATGTGCAATCTTCTCTGATACTGAACTTCTCATTTTGCCAGCCAGTCTGATTATGGCACGACCCCAGCCAAAAGTAGACAACCACCTGTTCACAAGTTTATGTGACTCAGTGTAAACAGGGAAGTTGGATTACTATTCAAGCCTAAATTCTTTCCTTGGTTCCCTGGTGCCAAATTCCATTGCGATAAAGCCCAGTTGTGAACCTGAGCTCAGCTGCTAAGTGAGGTGTATACATCGCTTGCCTACCACTTGTATCATCAGTTATAAGGCAAAGAAGATGGCAATATATTGTTCATTTCATAAGGAGCAGTGGACAAAGCATGAGGAAACTAGGTTGTCTAAGAGAAACCCAAGGTGACATTGTTGAGAGGAGTCAAGGGTGCTGGACTGGATTCCATGCATGATATCTAGAGGATTGTACAGGATTAAAGAGAATGCAGGACTAGATTGCCATCCTTATGGAGTGTATAACAATACAACAGCATGATGATGATGATGATCAAATCACTTGCCTGCTGTCAAATTTTCCTGTGATTCTCAGTGATAGAGGTCATGAGGTCATGGCATGAGTCACCCAATACATACTGTTTTGTTTTTAGGCCCTGGGGAATGTATTCTATTGAATACTTCACTCTGTTTGTGTTTATTGATTACCACTTGTATATATCTTTTTATATTTTAAATAAAATTATAAAATGTAGATAAATATATTTTTTTTAAATTGTTATTGACCTGTGTAAAGCGTTTGTTTAAAAAAAAAAAAGGGATTTTTATGAAAATTCCCATTGATTCGTTGAACCCCTGCCCCCCCCCCCCCCCCCCCCTCGGCCCTTTTTCCCCGCTTTTTTTTTCCATTTTAACATTTGCGCGGGGAGGGTGTTGAAAATGCAAACAGTTTCATGATGTAGTTGTTGAAATATCTCTCCAGGTTTCACAGTCAATATACCTGATAGTGTCATGAGCCTAACTTTTGTTGCATTTGGAGTCAGCTTGCCTGATGTTGTTGCTAGTGTTTTGGTGATTAAGGATGGTTAGTTCAACTTATTCATACTTATGCACAATGCACTGTCTCTGTCTTTCTGTCTGTCTACCTGTTTGTGCTTCTGCCTATCTCTCTTTATAAATAGCCCTTTCATCCTGTATTTATCCATCTGTATATCTGTCTCTTGTTTTAGATATGAATAAATGTATCTACATCTGTCTGTCTGTTTAACATTATATATATATATATATATATATATATATATATATATATATATATATATATATATATATATATATATATATATATATATATAAATCAATGTGTGTGTTTGTTTGGTCTCTATAGACTCGGAAACTACTGAACCGATTTAGCTGAAATTTTCAGGATATGTTTGTTGTGATACCGGATTTTGAACTGTCGTGGTTTGAAATTCAACCTGTCACTGTTAGAGATAGGTGACCACAATTTATGCCAAAATATACGCAACTAATATTTATAACTTTAGTGATTTCTAATTATAGCCACGTTAGTAATTGCGCATGCGCCGTATTTACCATTCGCCGGCGAGTTACGTGCAGCCAAATCCTTCTCTAATACTAATACATAGAGTAGGTCGTGGTACAGCAAACAAGACTATCTCTATATTTGCCACAATAACCATATTAAACACGATTTCTATTTTCTGTTTTTTTTCCCAAACAACCTTCGATGAAAAGGGGGGGGGGCATCAAGGACTATCTCGACGTCGGCGCAGACAGTGACTGCGACATTAACTTCATTAACCGTGTTAGACACGTGCGATTTCTATATATCTGGAGTATCTGTCTACGAGAAAACAATTGCCTGCGGTTTTGAATTGTGTTTTCATCGCGACACAGTAGTAGGGACTCACATGTCTAATAGTTGAGTTCTCTTTTCGTTGTTCCGATTAAGTGGCTGCTTGGTCGAATCGTTAGAACACTGTGTTCATGTGCGGTAGATCTGGGTTCGAATCCGCAGTCGTAAAAATTTTTTTTTACCCCGGACTAAAATAATATCCTCATCTGCTCTGTCGTGGTGACAGCACTAGCCATGTTGCCTTAATATTTAAAAAAAAAAAAAAAAAATAAGTAAATGGGTAAACCATTTGATAATTAAATTTGACCATTTCGCATACTTATGATTGCATTGTTAAACTTTCCGATTGCATGGTTACGCTGAAATTGTATAGATTTTCATTTAGATTTAGTTATTTCATCTGTGTTGGAATTTTAAGCTGTGCTGTTTACAATGGCGTTCATTTCCTAATTATGGTTTTTTTTTTCCTGTGTTTGTTTGCTTTTCAAGTGTTTTTTTTTTTCTCCCAACTACTTCAATGAGGGAAAGAGTTGTCGGTGAATTTGGGGGGGGGGGGGGGGGGCAAACTATTTACTGAGAGAGCTTTAAGTCACGTGAAGACCGCCGGTAAGGTTATGGCATTCTTCTGTCGGCAAGTGAAATTATACATCCTAACCTGACCAGTCTGTGGCGACAGCACTAGCCATGCGGAACCAAATCTTCTGGCTCACGACTCTGTCTACTCCGATGGTAACACAGATAGCAGTGACATTATTTTAGTAGTTGTACTGGTACTTGAAGGATGATGTGGTAAATATTACACTAGCCCTATTCACTACCTTTTACAATTCCTGCTCCCTATTTTAGTCCAGATGGACAGGGATGTCAATGTCAGTTACAGCAACAACAAAATATCGCCAGTTTGTGATTTTCAAATCCTTCGAAGAGGGAGAGAGCAGTAGTCGGTGGAAGAGGGGAGGGGGTAATGACTTAAATTTAAGAGAAATTAAAGAGCTTTACACTTGATTTTCAAGTTCTCATTACCTAATTTGTTTATATTTTACTAACGCTACCTCTGCTTTTCTATTTTTTACGACTTACTTTGTTATTCACAAGTACAGTTGTAGCTTTACTTCCGTCTCCTATAAAAATACAAACAGCTTTAGCATGTGATAACCAAATAACCACTTTTGTTACCGTGCTAATAGCACCATTTAAACGACCACTAATATAAAGACACAATTATATGGTGCGTGTTCTAAAGTTGGAAAACCAGACTATTTATATATATAAAAATATCATGTGTTTGTGTGTTTGTTTGGTCTCTATAGACTCGGAAACTACTGAACCCATTTAGCTGAAATTTTCAGGATATGTTTGTTTTGATACCGGATTTTAAACCATCGTGGTTTGAAATCCAACCTGTCACTGTTAGAGATAGGTGACCACAATTTATGCCATAATATTCGCAACTAATATTTATAACTTTAGTGATTTCTAATTATAGCCACGTTAGTAATTGCGCATGCGCCGCCGTAGTCAGAACGCAAGGTTTCTGCCATTCGCCGGTGAGTTACGTGCAGCCAACGCCTTAATACATAGAGTAGGTCGAGGTACCGCAAACAAGACTATCTCGATATATATCCATATATATTAAACACGATTTCTATTTTCTGTTTTTTTTTTCAAACAACCTTCGATGGGGGGGGGGGGGGGGGGGGGCAATCAAGGACTATCTCGACGTCGGCGCAGACATTGACTGCGTCATTAACTTCATTAGACAGGTGCGATTTCCATTGTCTTTCTTTTCTAAAAACCTTTGATGAGGGAGAGGGTAGTAGGTGGATTTAGTTGTGGGGGGGTGGGGGTGGGGATCAAAGACTATCTCAAATTACGCCACAGCAACGCGTGGCCGGGTACAGCTAGTATATATATATATAAATCCCTTTGTATCTATCCTGCTTTTTCTTTGTCTTTCAGTGTGTGTTGTGTCTGTGTAAGTGTTGTGTGTCTGTGCTGTGTGTCTGTGAGTGTGTGTTGTGTGCCCAGTTTGTAACCGTTTGGAAATATTTTGTTCAGTCCATCCGTGTGCCTGTCTGTTATTTTTTTTATTGATATGTATGTATGTATACACACACACTTTTTGCTATCTTTGTATATCTCTTTATCTCTGTCCGTCTATCTTTGTATATCTCTGTCTTATCTCTCTTTGTCTGTCTATCTCTCTGTCTCTCAGGTAGATGAGCATGCATAAAAACACACATATGTGCACATAATGTTTAAATAGATCTTTACCATTTCATAGAGGAGTTTTTGATAGCATGGTATTGATAGCATGGTATTTATAGCATGGTATTTACAGCATGGTATACAGAAATTCCTGTTTAAACTTAAAATTGAAAAATGAAATTCACACTCACAAAATATGTTAGTATAATTTAGGCTGTACCTTTTTTTTTAAAGCAATAAACGTAATTTGTTGTTCAAATCTTTTGTCCACAGGCCTTGGTGATATGGCTGTGTCAAACGCGGTTGGAAGTAATGTTTTTGACATTCTTGTCTGCTTGGGTATTCCCTGGTTCCTACAGACATGCATAATGAAACCTGGCAGTGTTATACAAGTTTACAGTGAAGGTATTGATTACCTTTGCTGTTCACATCCTAGCATTATACATTTATTTGCTTAACAGTAATTTTGATATATTAATTATAGATTAATAAGACATTGAAGTTATATCATGTGTCAGAAAAGGTAGACAGTCAAAATTCTTTAGAGATGTTAGGAGAAGAAACCTGTCTGCTAGTCGAAGCCCCATTTCACCACTGTATTTAATACCATATCTTTTGCAAATGATAGCGTAAATTATATTGTGGCTCATATAGTAGAATCCCTCACCTCTGTGGAAAGTGGCGTAAATGGAATACTATCTACCTGTACCACATAAGGACAAGTCTTGTAAATAGGTCTATGACAAGAGACTATGCCTAAATGGAACTCAGAGATGGGACGTAATCTAACCTTGACTAGAACATCCCTATGGTTACGGTTAAGTCTGTAGACCATTAGAGTAAGTTCAGGGTCTCCACAAAGCTGGAAGAAATCCAGCATTTCCAGGACCTTATGGTGAAAGTCATCATTTTTCTGACATGGTCTATCTACGGAGGTGTAGAAGTTGAAAGAAAGGAAGTGAGTCCTTGAAGATAAAAGGATGTAAACAAGAGAAAACCATGGTAATTATTAGGTTTGTAGTATTCTGAGGCTTTAGAATCCAAGATGACAGTGAGATCCAAGAAATGCACTGATGAGGGCAAATGCTGGAAGTGAGTCAGATGCTGGGTTGGAAGTTGGGGAAACAAATCAGTAAAGTCCTGTAGTTCAGACAGAGGCATATCAGAGACATTGATACAGTCTTTTATATACCTCCTGTATTACTCAGGGAACCTACCAGTATATTGATGACATATCCAATGTTCTAGCCCATGAGGAGGCAGATATAGCTGGGTCCCATCTTGGTGCTCATATCCATGCTGGTGATTTGGTCGAGGTAGTGACCATTAAACTCAAAAAAGTTCGGAGGAAGCACTTGCTCAGCCAGATATACCAAGGGATCAGTCGCTGTAGCTGGGCTGACTTGGCAATCTAGAAACAATTTCAAAGCCTTGAGACCATCAGAGTGAGGAATAGAAATGTAGAGAGAAGTGACATCTATGGTGAAGATGTGGTACCTGGAAAGAGAGGTGAACAGAAAGTGTTGACTGGAAGATAGAGATAGCATGGTTGTTGTCCAGGTTATAGGAAGGAAGACCAGGGGTTGGAATGTATGGTCGAGGAACTCTGATTTGAAGATGCTGCAGAACATCTTTGACATGAAACAGAGAGGCTTTCCATGATGGGAGTGCATTCCACAAACAAAGAAACTGCTACATGAAATGATAAGATGGTAGGGATACGAAATAACCTCCTGAAAGTATGTGATCCAAGGCAGCAACTGAAAAAATATATGAAGGTGGTTCAGATATTATATCTGAACCACAAGAAATATTGGTTCAGATGTAATATCGCAATACAGTAGTATGGATATACAATATTAAGAAGCGAAAAAATATATTTTAAAGTTAATGATCTGTTTGAAGCTAATATCACATCAAGCATGTGATGCCAGACACATATTTTTATAAACTAATTTATCCCTGACTGCATGTGAGACTTTTTACAGCAGAACATCTGGAAGGAAGGCGATAGGAAGACCAAAAAAGAGATGGATAAAATGGTGTTGCCTAAACCTGCACAAAGACTAGCAAATCCATCACCCAAGCCACCCGAGAAGTACAAGACAAAAATACAAAAAACCACAACACTGGGCTACAGCCTGGTATCAGCAACTTGAAAAAACCATGACACTGGGCTACAACCTGGTATCAGTAAGACGACAAAACCACGACACTGATCTGCAACTTGTTATGAGTCAGACGACAAAACCACGACACTTGGCTACAACCTGGTATCAGTGAGATGACAAAGCCATGACACTGGGCTACAACCTAGTATCAGTGAGTCGACAAAAGAAGAAAAAGATTGAACCCTGATAGTATGATGGTCAATATCATGCCATGATTTATTAATGATATTTTTTTAGATTTTTTATCTATTTTAAATTTTTTGTCTTATCTACAGATATCTAAAAATCTACAAAAACTATTCTTGTCAGTGCAGCTTTTGTCAATGTTGTACTTTGTCTTTTTCCTTCAAATATTTCTGCTTTATCTACAAGTTGTCTCATCCAACACACTATCATTAATGTTATATCTGTATTTTAATTGACTGTTTACTATATCTATATTTGTCGTCTACAAGGATCTGCTATACTCAACCATCACACTATTCTTCTTCCATTTATTTTTCTTCATCTTCTTCAGCATTCTGAGCTTTTGAGATTTATTGATGCAGATTTCACCCACTCTTCGAATGGCCTTCTCTTTCCAGTTGGTGACTCCAAATATTTGTATGTCTACCAGTTTATTATCTCTTCACTGTCTCCTTGGTGTACCTCAAAGTGTACTCTCATTCAGCTCTTTATCATACTATTATAATTATTATATTTTTAATAGAGTTTTATTAGTGTTTAATTTTGAATTGCTATTTATGTTAAATATGTTTTGCTTTATCCACAAAGGTCTGCTATACTCATCCATCACACTGCTGTCAACTGTGGCACTGCTGATTCTCTGCATTCACTTTAACAAATGGACCTTGGACAAGCGCATCAGTGTAGTGTTCATGATCATTTATATAGCATATACTGTTCTAGCTTCTCTTTATGAACTGAATATATTTGGCTACTTCCACCCAGTCGAATGTGAGAGTCGCTACTGAATATGTTGGTAGACTCCGGTGTTTTAACAATGTGTTATAATTGTTTTATTTTCTGAAAAGCACAATTTTTATTTTACCACCCAGTGCCCTCAGTATAGCCTTCATTGTTGTGAAACAAACTCCATAGCTAATCTTTCACTGGTCAGACATTCTGTAAAGTTTGAAAAGTCAGTATTCCCACAGTCTGTGAAGTTGTAATAATCAGTCTTATTTTTATGGTCCATGCCATGTGATGCCGGTCAGCTTGTCTTTCCAAGTGTTCAAACTTGATTTTCTTTGCAAACATACACACAGTTGGAATTCTTTCTTGTGAGAGCAGTGCCCATACTGGGTGGATTGTCCTAGTCATTAACTCTTTCAGTCGCAAAGAATGCATCGTGTGTTCATGGGTTCCTACCTAGAAGCCCAGTGAACGCAAGATGTTCCCACCTGCCTTCCCCGGAACTGAAAGAGTTAACTCTCTCAGTACCCTCCCCGCATCCTAGCGATCATCAAAACTCACTATACTTTTTGTAATCATTTGAAAGAAAATAGTGTTCTTGAAAAGATATCAAACCAAACAAAAAGTAGTGTAAGTCAGCTTCACAATATCGCAAACACAAATGACAAATGAACATTGCTGCTAGAAAGCCCTTATCAGTGCATTACATAAATATACAGTGCCACAACTGCGAACAAGAATGCACAGAATCACTTAACTGATGTATCTCTGATAGAAATCACATTTATGTCTCACTAGTAGAATATCTGACACGTATGTCCACTGAAAATAAATACTGGCAAGAAAATGCTGCGAGTGACAAGGGCTGTAATTCAAAGATACTAGATAAAATTGTTGGGTATTAAGTTCCCTAGGTTAACTGGCTCCTGTATATTGTTCTTTGTGTTTTCTATCACATACAGTAGTTACATTTAACAGTTTGAATCTGAATTATTAGTTACTTACTTCTGTCCTATAAAGTCTCTGCTGAACTCATTCAGACATAAGACTTTGTTGCTTTTGAGCTCAAACTTCTTGGAAGAGAAAGAGTCTAAAGTAACATCTGATTGAGACTGAAAGAGTTATGCCTATAAGTGACCTCCCCTACCTAGCACAGGTAAAGAGGTAGCCTTTTCTGAAAATGTTTCAGCTGCTTGCCATGACTTCACATGGCCCTTGTCAGCGTAAGGATACTCTGCCCCTGCCCATAAGGTGTCTGACAGAAAGGAAGTACAGTGGACCCATAAAAATCTCCATGCCGGACCACTTGCAGGTCCATCTAGTTTAAATTGAAATCCTGATAATTAGTTTTACTACTTGATACTGGAGCCCAGTTAAATTTGTTCTACTGTGACCTGATCCATTCAGTTGAATTTCAAGGTTGTTTGTGCATCGTGTGTAGTTACTTCATGAGTATTTGTGTTCATTTACTACATTTTTTAATTTATAATATACATTATAAATATGCATTTAAAGGCAAGTTTCTTATGTGTTTACTCTTGAAGGGGCAGTTGGCATGAGGTGTGGTTTAAAGCTAGGCTGCAGAATCTCCACCCTGCAGCGTAACACATCTGATCCTCTAGGCTTCACTTTTTACCACATGCTTGTTAGGGAGGCAATGGGTGTGTTCATTTTCCCTCCGTAATGGGACCCCAAAACCTGCACAGGAGTCGCCATGGCAGAGGGGCTAGACGCTTGCTGCAGATCAAAAGGTTGTGGGTTTGCTTCCTGGCAGAGCCAGACTTTTTTCAAAAATGACCTTGGCTCCCAGGTTGACCCAGCCTTAAGTGGGTCTTAGCATTCTCTTTTCATTCCTTGGGTATAGAAGTGATTCTCAGTCTTGTTTTAATTTTGATATAATTATACTGTCTATACTCACTGTTGTTAGACAGAATTGTGGCTTATGAGTCTTGCACACTCGCATGTGCATACACACTCCATATTCATTTACTGAACAGACTAGATTAGACACCCATCTAGATTTACTAGGTTAGTGAGCTTACACACAGAATACGTTTAGAATAACAAAAATAAGCATGTAACAAATGTGTGTGAAAAGAATATATAAAAGTAATAACTGTAGAGTTTAAAAGAAAAGTAAATGTAATATTTATGTGGGACAAAGTGTGTAAAATAGGAACTTCTGGGAAAGAATTAGTTGAAAGTAATAACTGTCTAAATGTCTGGACAAGAACCAGTTGAAAGTAAGTAAAAGTAAATGTGACTGGGGAGGGAGGGTGTATAGGGATGGGGGGGGGGGGGGGGGGAGGGGCAGTGTAAGTAATAAAACAGTTTGTGAGTAATAAAAGGGAGTGTAAATGTGTGGGTTTTTTTTTTTTCAGGCAGAACGCAGTAGCAGCAATTTGTTTTTCTAGAAAATAAATATACTGAATAAAAGTAAGTGTATAAATTTAACAGTTGTATGGTACAGAATGTGCAAATGTAATAAGTTTGTGAGATAAAAAAAAAATTTTTAGTAGTAAAAATATGCTTATGTAACGGTCGGGACATTGACATGAAATGTAATGAACCAGTTTTTTAGCAATATACATTTGGCAGTCTCAAGTATTATTCATGTTTGCTCATTGAAAACCTTGTGTTCCCATTATTATTAACTGACATGTATAGAGTGATGTACAATAATTTATTATTTGTACTTACATTATGTTAAACAATTATTATGTGTCCTATGTTGTCATTCTATGTTATAATTATACCAGAATCTCCCAAAGTTTAGCTTTAAGTTATTTGCCTCATTTCATGTAACTGGTTTTTTTCCATACATTTTGTTTAATGTGTTATCCTTTGTTTACAAGATAATTTCCGGTTTTCTTTGCATTTGCCTTGTTTACATTTCTCTTTTTGTGGGTGAATTTTAATTTGTTACTTATCCATTGACTTTGTCTTCCGGCATTATCTCAGCTCTTTAACTACTGGACTCGAACCCTAACTGTTGCAGAGTACATTTATTAAAATGTTCAGATGGAAAATAATATGACAAATATTTAAGGTATTAATTGGTACCCACATATGTAAATGATGACTACAGAAGCTAATACATTGTTCTTCTTCTGTTTTCACCCTTTAAAGAGCAGTTGGTCTGTTGTGTTGTGATTTACAGATAGCTGTTACATCTGCGCCTTTAGACCCAACACAATAATTTCAGTAAACTCTTAATTAGTCACTTTTGTGATTTACAGATAGCTGTTATATCTGCGCCTTTAGAACCAACACAATAATTTCAGTAAACTCCTAATTAGTCACTTTTTATAACAGGCTTGTTAAAGGGCAGGGGTCTGTTCTTCCCCTCCCCCCCCCCTTTTTCCCACTCAGATGGGGCTTTGAGAACCCACTCTGGGAAATGGATACACTAATTTAACAAAAATTGTGCAAAGTGTAGATATGCCTGAATTCAAATCAGCCACCTCCAAAAGACAACAACATCTATCTCCCTGATGGAACAACTGTACTTCAGTGCACAACCAAGTCATCTCATCTGCTAACCCTGGATGATAAACTGAGTATATTAATGGAAATATCCCTATTCACAGTCCTCTAATGTTCTGTACTCAGCAGCACACTCAAGTGTTGAAATACTACATCCTGTCCACTCCTGTTTTCAACCCTGGATTATCATTGCCAAAACCATATTAGCTTTTGTTGATGTTTAATCACTGACAAAAGTGGTTTCTGTTGTTGTTGTTTCTAAAAATTTTCTGAAGACTAGGATTACCACTTCAAAGATTGGAATCAGATTGGTGCAAACCCTGAAAGCCCTGTTCAAACTAACAAAAAAGTTATTTTTGGGCATTAAGGTATGGTTATGAAGTAACTTGCAGTCCTTTATCATGTTCTTGTTCACGATCACCGGCTGTAAACTCTGGCAGAAAGTTATGCTTGTTTGTCCATATCTGGACTAGTCTTATTCCAGAACCTGAGTGTTGTGAGCATATTCATTGTACACATCTGACATTTATTTGTGTGCAGATTGTTGGTTCCTTGCCTCTACGGTAGATACCCTCCAACTTTGAAGAAGCACCCAATATGTCAACTGTTACAAAATGCTTGTTGTGGAGACAGTGGGCCTGTTCTTGTTTTCCCCCAAAATTGGGCCCCAGAACCCACACTGGGAAACTGCAGTCTAGTGTGGGTGGTTTGTTACGTGGTCAAGAGTAGTTCTAAATGACCTGCTTATGTGTTTATTTATCACTAAGCAGTATAGTGTAGCAGATAGCCATGCTGCCCATTGAAGTCTTCAGATGTCTTTGGCTTCTGGCCATGGTTTGCTGTTGCATTTTTGCATCTTGATAACTCTTTACCAGATAGGCTTCTTCCTAACCCTCTGGAGATGCAGCTTTTTGGAGTTTCAGTGCGAAAAATACGAAGCCTTTAGGTGGGGATTCTCATACTTTATACCCAAAAAAATTATTTTAAAAATGAAGCGTTTAATTAACATATACAAAACTATATATATATATATAGATAGGACTTTTAAAAACTTCATCCATAACCAAATTCCACCATGTCATGTTTGTTCCCAAGCTTAAAAAAAAATTGCTTTATGCAAGCATATTTTTTTTTAAAGCTTGGGAACAAACATGACATGGTGGAATTTTGTTATGGATGAAGTTTTTAAAAGTCCTAACACTTGTGTTTAGGGAAGTAAGGCCCTTCAGACTCTTCTGGCACATAGTTCTACTTATTTTTCTGCCTTCAGATATGTTTCATTTGCTATGATGCATCAGTCCTTTTCGTCATTGTTGGGCATAGGTAACCCCAGAAAAAAATTGATGTAAAATTACTGAACACATAAACTTTCTCGAAAGCCATCAGTAAACTGCCAACATGTGCAAGAAATGCGAGAAGCAGTCTGATTGACTGGTACGAAAAACTTGTCTGTATCGACATCCCAGCATACCAGTCCAACCCATTGGTGCTCCATATTGAATTATGTTCTTAGCCGCACAGGACTGCAGGTTAGACATGGTTGGTGTAGTCATTACAGGTGCCCTCATTATAA